GGCTTTTTGAAAGTTAGTAAAAAATGATAGGGACAGAATGGAAATGGAGAACTGAACAGCTTGTTCACCAAGCTGGTGGGTTGAGCTTCCTGTAAGCACAGTCTTTGTTGAAACAAGACTGCGGCTATGAAGAAGTTTGCATCTTACTGCTGGAGATGCTGGGAATGGAACTAAAGCAGTCGGTGGTGGTGACACAACTCAGAAGCTGAAACCACACTCTAATTTGCACAAAATTGCTAGTTCTGCCTCTTTTTATTGTTTCTGACTGCACGCGATAGATGCACATTCAGTTGTTGTGAAAATGCATCTTCAGAACAGACTAAGAGAAAGTCATTTAGCCCTCAGTCATTTGTACTTACACTATCAACATTTTTCTAATATACTATTAAAAACCTGTCCACTGGTATCAACAGCCAATACAATTGTGGGGGTGAAAGGTGGAAGGAATATCCAAAGTGGCACTGAAGGAGGACAAGCAGCACAAAAAGGAAACAGGAAGGGGAGAAACAAGAATTTTTTTTTTTTTTTTTTTTTGCAGTACTGGAGTTTGAACTCAGGGCTTGCTAGAGAGGTGCTCTACCACCTGAGCCATGCCCCCAGCTGAGAATTAAGTTTCCATTTGAGAAAAAATATTTACATTTATTTATTTGAGTATCTTGCCTAATCTGGGAATTTAGTGTGTTAAAGAAAATGGTGGGAGTTTATTATAAAGATAAAACTAACCAACAACGAAGCCTTATTGGCCAATGTGATTTGAGAACTGAGGCTAACAGCTTAAAATGCTATAGCCTTTTCATCTAAAAACTGCTCTTGGTGGGAAACAAATCTAACCATTTTCATGAACAAGTGCACTGAAATTCCAGTAAGCATTTCAAAGTGAAACTTACCTTCTTTTATTTAGTCTCAAGTTCATCAACAGTCACCTAACTTGGCAATGAGATTCAGCATTTCTTTTCTATAGCATTCATGACTTATCACTTTGTAAATAGCATTGTAACCAACTTGTTGTCTGAGCCTGAGTTTTTGTCTTGCAATTTCGTAGAATGAAAATCACAGACAATGAGAGTGAGTAAAGCAGGACAGTTTATTGAGATAGAAAAATGGTAAAGTCTTCCCAGAGCTGGGAAGGGTCCCAAGGGAGGGTTGCCAGAGAAGCGAAGTGGTCTAAGGTTTTTATCCATTTACCCCAGAGTGTTGCTCAAGCGGTATGCTAATTAGATGTGCAGAGAGAAGCATTCTGGTTGGTTGTGCTCCCAACATTCTGATTGGTTGTGCCTTTAAACCATGGGGGTTTGAAATTCTTACTAGTTCTCATAGTGTTCTCATTCTGGTCTATCCTGCTTTTCCTTCTTTCTGCCCTTTAAGATCACAGGGAGGTCATAATGGTTTCCAGCAGCGCTTCTGTCAAAGCTATACTTAATTTCAGCTAACTGCCTATCCTAGTTGCTCCGTATGGATAAAAACAGTTTTAAAGATGAGTAAGTGAATGCATATAGAATGTTGAAAAAATAGGACTAAGACATAAAGTTATGCCAAAGCTTTGATAAACCAGTCAAAGAATTTATTTCAACTTGCACCTTAGTTCCCAAGTTCGCACTTGGGAACCATATGCAAAAATTTCAAAAAGAACCCTCTGGATCATTTCTTGGCCTTTTGGCTAAGATCAAGTGCAGTATCTGTTCTTATCAGTTTAATATCCCATACGTTCTGTCTCTTAGGACAATATGTTACATGGATTTTTGGAGCAGGGAGATGGAGTAGAAGTAGGAGTGTGGTTCCAGGCCACCCTGGGCAAAAAGAGTTTGCAAAACCCCATTTCAATGGCAAAAAAGCTGGGTGTGGTGGTGTGTTCCCAGCACCAATGGGAAGCCTAAAATAGGAGGATGGCAATCTTGAGCAATAAGTGAGACCCTATTTCCAGAATAACCGGAGTAAAAAGGGCTGGAGGTATAGATCAAGCAGTAGAGCACCTGCTGAGCAAGTACAAGACCCTGAGTTCAAACCCCAGTATCTCAAAGGAATAAAAAAAAAAAAAAAAAAAAAGAACACTCTGGCCCCTCAAAGGGATAGCTGAACATTGATGACTGCAGAGCACAAACTGGACACGAGGAGGATGACATTTTTAATGTAATTTATTTGAAATGCATCCAGAAAAGTTTAAGGCCATTATACAAAAACATTCATTTCATCAAAACATTCATTGACTTTCTTCCCATAGGCCGACATCCACAAAGCTCTTTTCTTAATCCACTGGCAAGAGGCCAATGGCTCTGCAAAGATCACTCCGCCTCTTCCTCACCATCAAATGACTCCTCAGGTGGCCTCTGCTCTGTCTGCAGCAGGTTTATTCATTTGCTGAATCAGTAACAACTTGAGAAACAAAGCAGTTTTAAATAAACTTATAATAGAAAAAACCCACCATGTTTAAAATCTATAAATACAGAAATATGTTTTACAGGGTAAAACTGACCATAACATTTTTTTGTTTTTGAAAAATAATAATGTAATATACCTGTTTTCATATTGATAAATCTTGTCACACGTCTTCTTTGAATGCACATGACATATGTACATAATAAAATGACAACATTGTATTTGCTGCGTTCTTTTCTGTAAACTTGAAAGACACAGATTTAAAAAAAAAACTTTTTTGGCAATAATTTAGAATCATTACTACTAGTGCTGGTGTGGGTATAATTTTGCACAGGTCATCCTAAATATTTACACTTGCAGGGAGCTTTTCCTTGTAGTTTGTTAACTTTTTTTTTTTTTAAAGGTCTGCACCCCACCCTACTCTGTAAATCAAGGCTGGACAAAGAGGTTACCAGTTTGGCTAGCTGAGCCTAATCAGTTAATGAAATTGGCCTTGGGAGAATGTGATTATGTTTCTGATTATAGCACAGAACCAGAGACACAAACTGAGGGCGGAAAAGTAGAGCACGGAGAAATCTTTCCCAGAAGGCCCGTGCTTTTCTCTTCTAATAGTCTGGGTGAAGTACTTCTCACTCCCAATTCTTCCTCTCATGTGTTGTTGTTATTGTTGTTTTGTTTTGAGACAGGGTTTCACTATGTAGCCCAGTCTGGCCTCCAACTTTCCATCCTTTTGCCTCTGCCTCCTCAGTCCTAGGATTGCAGGTGTGTACACCATGCCTAGCCTCTCAAGTGTTTGTAAACAGAGTCACTGATACACAGTCTCTTTTCCTATTGCTTCATTCACACTGTAAAATATGAGTGACCTAGGCTGATGAAACAAAATGAAGACAGAGGGCTTTCTCGTTATCCTGGAAGGTTTTCCCAGGCCCTCTGGGTTCTATTCTGATTGGGAGGCTAGAAATGGCTTTCTATGGCAAGCCACTGGCCATGACAGGCATCTCTTAGAGCCACGCACATTTCAGTTAAAGACTCAGAGCTGGCAGCTGCTTTTGTCTTGGCCCTTCTAAAGTCAGCTTCTATTTCATGTCCTTATAGGTTACTGAACCAAACTTGCACTGGATAAAATTGCAAGGTTCAAATAATGCTTCTTTCTTTGCAAAATTAAGCCTTCAGAATCCTCAGCGATGTTTTCATGCTTTCTGGTTGAATAACATGGAACCAAGTTCACTTGAAGGGCTGGCCTTTCCTGGTTCTCCCCCAGATGCCATCCCAATACTCTGATGCAAAGCGCTCTTAAATACAATGCTATCTTGTCTAAGAGCTAGGAACGCACCAGAGGGAAGCATGAGAGGAAGGACTCGCCAAGCAATCTATGCAAAACAGTAGTTTAGAGATTCTTTTGTTTCTATTTTTAAAATCCAGCAGGACAACTGAAAGTAACTTGTTCAAATACCTCTCCATCCATGCAGACACGTGTAAGATACAGTACAGGGTAATGGCTGCCACTGATTTCAGCTGACAAAGACAAATTGATTGGCAGTTACAGTACTAGGGACAAAGGTACAGATACAAGAGACGGCCAACACAGTCACAAGAGTATTAAAAAGTGCTTCTCCAAACCGTTCCATGTGTGGAATGCAAATACTGTACAGGTAAGACACAGGGCTACTTGCAGGAAGGACATAGCCTTCTGTCAGACGTTGCTTTCCACCGGCCTGGTGTTCCCCCAGGAAGAGTCTGCCTGCTCCATTCGCTCACAGTCAAGGCTGACCTCACTCGTGTCCATACTGCAGTCTGACTCACTGTCTGATTGGTCCATCTGCTCAAGTTTTGTTTCCCCTTGTGGCTCCCTGCTCCCGGTGGCAGGATTTAGGAATGGTCCCTCGGAGTCAAGCACCCCACCCAGCCCAGCGGCACACAGAACTGTTTCTTTGGCTTGACGGATACAATTGAGCCACTGCTGTTTGTTGAAGGTATCATTGGCTTGTAGCGAGTGGGACTGACTTTGGGATCCATTTTTGAAACTGACTCTGAAGAAGTTTTTAACTAGAAATGAAAAATACACAAACAAAAGAGTCAATGGGTAGGTATTTCTCTGAGCCAAAGACAACACAGGTTGTGACACTAACCCTAC